AACTTCTTCCTTCTTCTTGGCAAACTTCTCCTTAACAGACGTCAAGATCTTGTTGTAGGCATCAGCTACCTCCTTCTTCCCTTGACGAATAGCTAGCTTCACCTCAGCTTCCTTATTCTTCTGACTGATCTGCGCCGAAGTAACCAGCTCTCGGACATGTTGCTCGGCGACTCTCTTGGCAGCCTCCAGCTCGGCTATCTTTCTTCCTTTCACTTGAAGGTCAATAACTTGACTCTCGATCTTCCCAGCCTGAATATCGGCCTTCTAGCCAAGCCTTTCTACCACACTCTCGAGCTCAGCAACCTTAGCTCGAGATTGGTCGAGCTCCTCTTTAGTAGCCTTCACCATTTCAGTCACCTGAGCTAATTCCCCTGCTCGGGGAGCATTGTTGATCGTGTCCTCCAAACTCAATTGGACTAGGTTGATGGCCCCAGCTAGCTGAAAAAGAAATAAACCAGCTTTCAGTCAACAGTTTCACTGAAAAGAACAGACAAAATAATTTTTGAGATCTCTCACCTGACCCATGTAATGAGCGACCTCCACGTACTCCTCTCGGTTAGTCATATTGTTAATCGCAGGAAGAGAACAACCAGTCCTCTTCATATGACTCATCAAAGTGGCCAGACCCCAAGAATCCTCCAGGACAGAGCCGGGTTTCGAGTGGGTAAAGCTCCACCCCACGGCCTCTCCTCTGGAAGAGGAAGAGGACGACCTAGACGGTCTGTCCACTTGGTCAACCCGGGATCTCTTAGGTCTGGGAGGCTCGATCTCGGAAGACTCCTTGATCACTTGAAGGTCGGTTTCCTTGGTCTGTGCATCGGGTTTGGGGGCAACCTCCTGAGCCTTCGAGGCATCAACAGCAACGGCATCCTTGATCACAAGGGAAGCTCCATCATCGAGAACATCTCTCACCTGATTGAGAAAGGATCCTCCTTGGTTCTTTTCACTTCCTCGAGAGGAGCTAGCACCTTTAATGGCTTTGCCCCGAGAACGGTAAGACGGTTGAAGAGGCATTTTAGCTTGCTGAGTCTTCTCGGTCTCGGAAGTACTAGCTTCTGTTGAAATAGACACGACCGAGGTACCTTCGGAAACTGAATAAAAAAAAAACTTGTTCAAAACCGAATGGTTCTGAATGTAAAGCCATTACATTTGGAAAGAAAGATAGAACCGAACTATCTAAGCCCGCAGCTGGGATAGGATCCAAAAAAGAGGCTCCGTATCGTTCAGGAAACCTGGCTGCTCCTATGCGTGAAGTAGTGAAAGCTCCCCACGTACAAGGACTCTGCTTCAACTTACGATACAAAGCTCTGGTAAGCTTGTTAGTAAGTTTGTCAGGTTCTTCGATGTCTGTCAAAAAGAATCAACGGTTAATGAGACATGTAAAAGGGAAATAAACCACACAAAGACATTCCTAGAAGACCCTAACCAGAAGCATCGGACCAAGAAACCCTTAAGGTACGACCCACGGGGACCGTCAAAGGGTCAACCTTAACGTAAAAATATTTCTTCCTCCAGTCGTCATCACTGCCGGAAAACTTAAAGAGGCCCAGCTTGGGTCGGCAAGGTAAATAGTAGGTACCGCTACCCCCATCTTTTGAGGCACTCTCTTTGATAGTATAGAGGCTCATTAGATCGCGGAGGCCAACGGTAACCCCTTCTTCTTTAGCTCTGGTGATAAAACCATTAACCACTCGGATGACCGAGGGACAAAGCTGAGAAAGAGCTAGCTGGTAATGATCGAGAAGATCCAATAGGAGGTCTGGAAGCGGGAACCTGAGATGACACTTGGTGATGTATTTCTCGTGAACACAGAACCACCCTTCCGGAGCAGTCTCCGGAGTCTCGTCGGGTTTACAGGCCTTGGCTAAATCTTTCTGGCCTACAGCCTGAACCATCAGATTAACAACCTCCTGGCTCCTCAGCAAAGAGGGCACGTGAGATCCGAAAGGG